ATTGGGGACACCGGGAATGGGATTGGGAATGCCGGGAATGGGATCGGGGACACTGGGAAACAACACCAAGAACAGCGCGAATGGGATCGGGAACAGCGGGAATGGGATCGGGGACACCGGGAATGGGAATGAGGGAATGAGGAGGAGGAGAAGGAGGAAGAGAATGAGGAGGAGGAGGAAAACGAGGAGGAGGAGGATGAGGATGAAGGCCAGACCTGCTCGTAGATGTCGATGGAGAAGGAAAAGGAGGAGAAAAAGTGAGGATGAGGAAGAGAAGGAGGAAGATGAGGACGAGGAAGAGGAGGAGGAGAATGAAGAGGAAGGCCAGAGCTGCTCGTAGATGTCGATGGAGAACGAGGAGGAAGAAGATGATGACAATGAGGATGATGAAGAAGAAGGTGAGGATGAAGAGCAAGGCCAGAGCTGCTCGTAGATGTTGATGGAGAACGAGGAGGAAGAAGATGATGACAATGAGGATGATGAAGAAGAAGGTGAGGATGAAGAGCAAGGCCAGAGCTGCTCGTAGATGTTGATGGAGGAGGAAGAGGAAAATGAGGAGGATGAAGAGAAGAACGAGGAGGAGGAGGAAGAAGAGAATGAAGAGGAAGGCCAGATCTGCTCATAGATGTCAATGGAGAGGGATGAGGATGAGGAGGAAGAGAAGGATGAGGAAGACGATGAGGAGAATGAGGAGGATGAAGAGAATGAAGAGGAAGGCCAGATCTGCTCATAGATGTCAATGGAGAGGGATGAGGATGAGGAGGAAGAGGAGGAAGAAGACGAAGACAGTGAGGATGATGAGGATGATGATGAGGAGGATGAGGAGGGAGAGAAGAGGAAGATGATGAGGAAGAAGAGGATGAGGATGAGGAAGAGGGTGAGGAGGAAGAGGAAGATGAGGAAGACAATGAGGAGGAGGATGTGGATGATGATGAGGAGGATGATGAGGATGAAGGCCAGACCTGCTCGTAGATGTCGATGGACAGGGAAGAGGGGTATGAGGATGAGGAGGATGATGATGATGAGGAAGAGGAGGATGAGAAGGATGAGGAGGAAGACGAGGATGAGGAGGATGAGGATGAAGACCAGACCTGCTCGTAGATGTCGATGGAGAGGGAAGAGGGGGAAGAGGATGAGGAGGAAGAGGGTGAGGAAGAGGATGATGAGGATGATGAGGATGAGGATGAAGAAGAAGGCCAGACCTGTTCGTAGATGTTGATGGAAGAGGATGAGGAGGATGAGGAGGAAGAGGGGGATGCGAAGAAGGATGAGGATGATGAGGACGAAGAGGAAGGCCAGACCTGCTCGTAGATGTCGATGGAGGAGGATGAGGATGAGGATGAGGAGCAAGAGGAGAAAGAGGAAGATGATGAGGAGGAAGAGAAGGATGATGAGGAGGAGGAGGGTGATGAGGATGATGAGGACGAAGAGGAAGGCCAGACCTGCTCATAGATGTCAATGGAGAGGGAAGAGGATGATGAGGATGAGGAGGATGATGTGGACGAAGAGGAAGGCCAGACGTGCTCGTAGATGTCGATGGAGAGGGAAGAGGGGGATGAGGACGATGAGGAGGAGGAGGATGATGAGGATGATGAGGACGAAGAGGAAGGCCAGACCTGCTTGTAGATGTCGATGGACGAGGGAAGAGGAGGATGAGAATGATAAGGATGATGAGGATGAGGAGGAGGAGGAGGATGATGATGATGAGGATGATGAGGACGAGGAGGAGGACGATGAGGATGATGAGGATGAGGAAGAGGATGATGAGGATGATGAGGATGAAGGCCAGACCTGCTCGTAGATGTCGATGGCGCGCGGGAACTGCTCGAGCTGCGCCGCGAACGCCGCCACCTTCAGCAGGCACTTATTGGCTGAGCTGGGAACGGGAACGGAGCCTGGATCCCGGGATTCCCGCAGATCCCGGAATTCCTGGATTCCCAGAGATCCCGGGATTCCCAGAGATCCAACCGGGAACGGAGCCTGGATCCCGGGATTCCCGCAGATCCCAGAATTCCCGGATTCCCAGAGATCCCGGGATTCCCAGAGATCCCGGAAACCCAACTGGGAACGGAGCCTGGATCCCAGAGATCCCAGAATTCCCAGAGATCCCGGGATTCCCAGAGATCCCGGAAACCCAACCAGGAACAGAGCAGGATTCCCGGAATTCCCGGATTCCCAGAGATCCCGGGATTCCCAGAGATCCAACCGGGAACGGCGGATGGATCCCGGAAATCCCGGAAACCCAACCGGGAACGGAGCCTGGATCCCGAGATTCCCGGAAATCCCGGAATTCCCAAAGATCCCAGAAACCCAACCGGGAACGGAGCCTGGATCCCGGGATTCCTGGAATTCCTGGATTCCCAGAGATCCAACCGGGAACAGCGGGTGGATCCCGGGATTCCCGGAGATCCCGGAAACCCCAGCCAGAATCCCAGAAATTCCACCCCAAAAATCCCAAAAAATTCCACCCAAAAATTCCCAGAGATCCCAAAAATTCCACCCCCCAAAAATCCCAGGAATTCCACCCCAAAAATCCCAGGAATCCCAAAAATCCCACCCAAAACATCCCAGAAATTCCACCCCAAAGCTCCCGGGAATCCCAGGAATTCCCCTGGAATTCTCCCGGAAGGTTCCGGAAGCCGCCCAGGGCGGGAATTCGGGACCCCCCGGAATTCGGGATCCCTCGGGATCCGCTGGGATCCGCTGGGATTCCGGGATCCGGTACCTGGTGGATTCCTCCCCTTTGTAGTAATCGGCCGCCTGCTCGTAGTGCGCGATGGCCTGGGGGAAAAAACGGGAAAAATGGGAAAATCTGGGATCAGATCCCAGGAAATCCCAGTGGGAAAAGCCAGGAAATGGGAAAAACTGGGAAATAAATGGGAAAAATGGGAAAATCTGGGATCAGATCCTGGGAAATCCCGGTGGGACAAGCCAGGAAATGGGAAAAATGGGGGAAAAACCTGGAAAAACGGGGAAAAAACGGGAAAAATGGGAAAATCTGGGATCAGATCCTGGGAAATCCCAGTGGGAAAAGCCAGGAAATGGGAAAAAAGGGGAAAAATGGGAAAAATGGGAAAATCTGGGATCAGATCCTGGGAAATCCCAGGGGGACAAGCCAGGAAATGGGAAAAAAGGGAAAAAAATGGGAAAAATGGGAAAATCTGGGATCAGATCCCGGGAAATCCCAGTGGGAAAAGCCAGGAAATGGGAAAAAACTGGGAAATAAATGGGAAAAATGGGAAAAATGGGAAAATCTGGGATCAGATCCTGGGAAATCCCGGTGGAACAACCCAGAAAATGGGAAAAAAGGGAAAAAAATGGGAAAATCTGGGATCAGATCCCGGGAAATCCCAGGGGGAGAACCCAGGAAATGGGAAAAAACTGGGAAAAACCAGGATAAAATGGGAAAATCTGGGAAAAAAATGGGAAAAACAGGGGAAAAACCTGGGGAAAATGGGAAAATCTGGGATCAGATCCCAGGAAATCCCAGGGGGACAAGCCAGGAAATGGGAAAAAACTGGGAAATAAACGGGAAAAATGGGAAAATCTGGGATCAGATCCCGGGAAATCCCGGTGGGAAAAACCAGGAAATGGGAAAAACTGGGAAATAAATGGGAAAAAAATGGGAAAAATGGGAAAATCTGGGATCAGATCCTGGGAAATCCCAGGGGGAAAAGCCAGGAAATGGGAAAAACTGGGAAATAAATGGGAAAAATGGGAAAATCTGGGATCAGATCCTGGGAAATCCCGGTGGGACAAGCCAGGAAATGGGAAAAATGGGGGAAAAACCTGGAAAAACGGGGAAAAAACGGGAAAAATGGGAAAATCTGGGATCAGATCCTGGGAAATCCCAGTGGGAAAAGCCAGGAAATGGGAAAAAAGGGGAAAAATGGGAAAAATGGGAAAATCTGGGATCAGATCCTGGGAAATCCCAGGGGGAAAAGCCAGGAAATGGGAAAAAAGGGAAAAAAATGGGAAAAATGGGAAAATCTGGGATCAGATCCCGGGAAATCCCAGTGGGAAAAGCCAGGAAATGGGAAAAAACTGGGAAATAAATGGGAAAAATGGGAAAAATGGGAAAATCTGGGATCAGATCCTGGGAAATCCCGGTGGAACAACCCAGAAAATGGAAAAAAAGGGAAAAAAATGGGAAAATCTGGGATCAGATCCCGGGAAATCCCAGGGGGAGAACCCAGGAAATGGGAAAAAACTGGGAAAAACCAGGATAAAATGGGAAAATCTGGGAAAAAAATGGGAAAAACAGGGGAAAAAACTGGGAAAAATGGGAAAATCTGGGATCAGATCCCAGGAAATCCCAGGGGGAAAAGCCAGGAAATGGGAAAATCTGGGAAAAACTGGGGAAAAATGGGAAAATCTGGGATCAGATCCCGGGAAATCCCGGTGGGAAAACCCAGAAAATGGGAAAAATGGGGAAAATCTGGGAAAAACGGGGAAAAATGGGAAAATCTGGGATCAGATCCTGGGAAATCCCAGGGGGAGAACCCAGAAAATGGGAAAAAAGGGAAAAAACAGGAAAAATCTGGAAAACTTGGAAAAAGTCTGGGAAAAACATGGAAAACCTGGGGAAAACTTGGGAAAAAATGTGGGAATAACCTGGAAAAACCTGGGAAAAACTGGGAAAAATCTG